CTACACGACGGATTTTACTTGGTTTTTACTTTTCGGTGCTTTTTGGGGTTTCTCCACCAAAATTAGAATGTGTTTGTTTCACATGTTCAAACTCGTTTTTTAATATATGAATTTGAGATATGGTACTATTCTCATATTTTTATGGGGTTTTAAACAAATATTTTTGGATATTATATATGTAAAACAACTAATTGTAAGAGACTATATTTTCTCTTGATATAATTCAATTAGTATATTTTCTCTTGATATAATTCAATTAGTTGGATGTTATAAATAGTAAGTTAGTTATTTATAAATAAATAAAAAATAGCAAGTTAAGTACACCTCTTGTTAGGCGGTTATTTTTGGGTTAAGAGTTTTGATTATTTTTCTGTTATGAGCTTCTAATATATATAGGAGGAGCTTCTACTATCTATCTATATTATATATATATATATATATATAATTAGTATAATTAATATATTAAAATATGAATGTTTTGATTATTTTAAAATTATTGTTCAATTTTAACAAAGTTTGATATCAACATTCAAAGTGATATAAAGTTTGATATCTATAAAGTTGTAGTAAACAATTAATGTTCCAGAAGATAAAGTGTCAAATTACGAAAATCAATTTGAGAATTATCTAAACCTTATTATCCTTATAAATAAGGTGAAAAGGTGAAACGGTGAAGGTGAACGGGCTTATAAATAGGGAAGCCTCGAACAGAATTTCGAGAGAGCAAGAAACTTTGTAAGAGAAAGTACGAGTGAAGGAAACCTTGTGAGAGAAGAGAAAAACGAGTAAGATAAAAACAATCTTATATATCTTGGAGCAACTTTACTTCTTTTAAGGGAAGGGGGACCGAGAACTTTAACTTTTTAAAATTTTTTATATGTTACTATGTTTATTTTTTTGTGTTATATTTTAAGTATATTTACTTAGTGAGGTGTCCCTAACCTTATTTATTTGTTTAATCTATGATTATTTTTATCCATAATAATTATTAAAGTATTCATATTTTATGTTTTTTTAATTATTTTATAATGATTGTCATTTTCATTTATATATATGATTGAGACTTTTAATATACTATTTTTACGTAAATATTATTCAAATTTATTTAATGTAAATATATTTTATAATCAACTATAATATAGTTTTGATATCTTAGACTCGTCTTGTTGTTATTTTTTCATGTATTGATGAAGATAAATATTATTCTATGGTCATAGAAGATAAAATTTGAATTAATTTGTAGTTGGAGGTTTAACCTTAGGGATGAGTAAGGATTAAATGTAAAATATCATTTTGTTGATTGATATTATAACAATGTTCATTTATCCTGAATAGTCACTACAAGTATAATTCAAATTTTTATTTTAGAATAATTAATACATATTTATTAATATTAAATATTTCTATGCATACTGTTATTAATATTTATTGGATAATTGTTCTCACTCCTTATTTTTCTTGTTTAAAATATTTAATTAAATATAATGAAAAATAGATGGATCTACCAACCATACCAGACTCTTTCACTTCCGTTATTACTGTAATTTTTTCGGGTACCAGTTGGGGTATGAACGCGTCTGCAAGTGCCGTTACATTTTAGGGGATAAGATTATTAACTTTTGTATTTTCACCAACTCAACAAAATCCCGTTATCATAAATGGCCAGATAGTAGTCACTTTTTATTTACCTCCAATGAATCATGTTAATCCTATAGTGAACTTGTATTAACCCGATATATAAACATTATAAAATTAGTGTAAGAAATAAGTAGTTTAAAAGTATATACATTATTGTAATTATATTTTTGTTTAATATATGATGTAAATATAAAGTGTTATATGTAAGCAATAAGTTTATAAAATTTTCTTTAATAATATTAATAATATAATGTACATAATTATTATATACGTATAATATTGAAAGTAATATTCACGCGACTAGACGGTTACATTAAGTATGATAATTATAGAGATAAGGGGTGCTCAACACTCACAATTCTATTGACTTCTCATGTGAAAGTTCTCTTGAGACTCATACAATAATAACACAAGTTTTTCCAAAACAAAAAAAAAAAAGAGTTTAAAATAAAACATTTAAGATTGAATTAAAAAAATGAAACTACTCTTATTTTTATTGGTTACAAACTTGTAATATTCTATGTTATGTTACCAAAAGAACAATTATCAAAATGATGACAATTAAGATGACAAGTACTATTAGCTTTATCTTCATGTTCTGATACCACATCTTTCTCCTTATCTGGCCTCCAGTCCGCCTGAAATCTTCAGCCTGTAAAGCCATATGCAAATACCAATTACACTCTACAATCATTTTTTCTATACAAATTTTAATTCATGATTATGACATATAACAAATCAAAGTAAAGGTCAAGTCAACATATAGATGATTATGACATACCACTAAAAAATACTTCAATGACGATAGTTTTCCTTAACAAACATTTTGGCTGCTACTTAAATCTAGCTTACAAGCAATCTAAATGAGCCAAGTGTAATCCATTGAAAGAAAAAAACTGTTGCAAGAGACAGGGTTGGTGCACACAAAATTCATAAACAACAATAAATATCATAGTTTTGTAATTTTATTAAACTTTCGCGACAAAGTGAACTTACCCTTCACAAGAACCTAATATCTGCAAAATGTTTGGTATAGAGAAATTTTTCATACCAAAAAATCATAATTATATATATGAATCACAAATTCTTAAAATAATGATTTTTAAGAATAACTAAAATGTATTTATTTAATCATAAATATTCTTAAAATATTAATATATGTTAAAAACCAGTAATTTTCACGACATTAAATTAGTAAGTAAATTAAGATAATATAATAATTCTATTACTATAACACTTTTTTTTTTTAATTTAGAAAAAATGACTTTCACCTCTCATAAAAATTTTAGAAAAAACTTATGTAACAAATATTTATAAGAAACGATGTTCCACGAAATGTTATATTTTTTTTTAAAGAATAAATCAAACATAAAAAATTATCATTCTCAACTTTGAATTTATAGAAAACTAAAATTTTCCTGTCTATCAAAATAATACTTCCTTATTTTTTTTTCCCGATACACAATGTTTAATTTTCACAACTATGGCATTATTCAACCAAAACATATAGGTTAACTCTGCATGATCTAAAATCATCTTCTCAGTTCAATTTTCCAGAAATATTTTATCATGTGTGAAGAATTAATTAAAAGTACCTGATTGCGAAGATCCTCAGTTTGGCCCACCAAAACATCAATCTTCACTTGACGATCAAGAACCTGATCAAGAAATGGTACAATATAATTGGCAACATATACATAATATAAAATAATTAAATTCCAATAATTAGTATATATTATTATACCTGATCAATGTTTGCCCTCATAACTTGTTGGACTTCAGAAACCTGAGCTTTCACCTTGGCAAGTTTGCTAACCTCTTCTGGGTGTTCCACACAATATTGCATATGTTCCTTTAACTTGGGTCTAAAACCAAAGACATATTCATATTAATTGATATATACCAATTCAAAACATAGAGGCAAATTTGCTTTAATTCATGGTGCATAAGTACCCAAATTCTTTGTTTAAGCTTTTAGCAGTGGCTGTTGCAGCTTTTCCTCCACCATATCTCTTGGTAAAATCATCCTTTATGCGTTCAAGAAAGGGCATTGCAAGCTGGCGACCAACAGGTTCCACTGCCACAACACAGTAACCTGAAAATAATACAAGTGAGTAACTTAAACTATTTTTTGTGTAATTCAGAAGGATTAGGAAAGCAAAATTTAAATTGAAAGCATAAACGTAACGTATTTTAATAAATAAGTTGACAGAAATAACAGTTTCTGCTTATATATTTGAACGAAAAACCATGCATACGAGACAACATTTTTGGTTTGCTTAACATGTATTTCGTACTTATATCTTAATTTTTCAACCACTACCTTGTCGTATGTATCTATGTATTGCATTAAATTTTTTGGTAAATTAAGTTTTTAAGTCTCTTAATTTTTTTTAATCTTCCATTAATTTTCTGTCAACTAATAAATTAGTTCTTAAATTTAAATCTCATTTATTAAGTAATAATGTATAAAATAAATTAATAATAATTTGACTATTGATATCTAAATAATTATTTAATAGATGACAAGTTATATGATATTTGTAATTTTACAATTTGTTTATGATCATAGGGATAAAAATTTGTCTTTATAACATATTTTATTTTTAAAAAAAATGTTTGATTATGAGTTAATAAAAAAATTAAAGTGTCATGTAATTTAATATCGACTAAATAATCACATAAATATCAATAATTAAATTAATAATAATTTATTAGTATATATCACCACTATCATAAGAACTAATTTATAATTTATAAGATAAAAGATTAACAAATTCTAAAAAGAAAATTAAAAATCAAAATCTTAAAAAATAAGGAACTAAAACCTTATTTAATTTTTTCTTTAACATGTATTGCATCCCTTTTTACTTAATACTTAATTATACACCCGTTCCTAATATTTTTTTTTTATCGTTATCTGTACACCATAGATAAGAACTTCTACAAGTTGTTGCTTGTGCATAAGCGAACCACGATTTAATATATTTTAATCGTTAAATGTACACCTTATATTAGAACTTTTACTAGTTGTTATTTGCGCATAATCAAACCACAATTCAATGACGAATAGGAATAGATAGCAGTATGAACAGGGACACTAAATTAGTGGGCGGAATTTATTATAAAAAATAATTATATATATATA